CCGATTTGCTCACAGATATCCAAAATTTTGCGGCCGCCGCTAGTAAAGGTGCTTCTGTACTCCCCCCCCCCCCTCCTCCCACACATAATCTAAACTATAGAATCTCCCATCTCGAAACTTGCCTCGTTTAGCTATGGACCTAGTCACAACATACACGACTTTCCATCACCGTTCAGACATTTTGTTTACTCTTGAAAAAAGCACGGGCAACAAAATTGGTTCCCATCTCATACTGTCATGCCGACCCAGACCTGACGCTCCCATCCCCGTCTTCACAACGACTGCTCCGGGCGGAGCTGGGAGACTGATCCCATATTGTGAACCGGAAGACGAATCGTATTGCCTGCCAGGCTGCGACCGTCCTATCTGCCTGGCCTTGCCCGTACAAATGATGACTCGCCTTTAACTAGCGCGCGCGCGGCGCCGGTGTCTTGCACCGCCTCGAAACCCATTGTTTCCCTTAAGCTCTCCGATCACCATCGGCAAATGATGGCAGTTTTGGCGGCGGCGTCGTTCCATCCCATATTAAGATCCGGTATGGTGCGTGACGTGGGGCTTAGTGGCAGCCGCGGGCGAGGATCGCAGCCGTATGCGGCACCGAGCCGGAGCCGCGGGATGGTTCCTTATCGAACACCGTGACGGCAGCGTGTTATCACAGGGCGATAACTCTATTCTCTGTACATTTTTGAATTTCTTCCTTAGGTCTGCTGGAATAGCTCTGTTCTCACAGTCGCTCCAAATATGCCCTGCTCGTCGAGCAAATCTCCGCAGTGATTAATCACGTGACGCGGCAATCGCCTGCGCCAGCTGGTCTTTTGCACGCATGCCTGCCGTTGCGTCGGAAAAAGTCGCGACGCACTTGCACTGCGTGTGAAGGTTAACAGGAAGACATAAAACCTTCGGCGGACGACCCGAAGTGCACCGGCTATTCTCGCTGTGCGGGAAATCCCAGATCGCAGGCTTTTCACGGATTCCTTGCGTCGCTGTAAAACCGCAACATGCTGCCATCGCTTGCAAAGCCCAACAGACGCCAAAAGAAATATTTGCAATCGAGCGTCTGCCAGGAGATGATCCTTATTTTGCCGGAGTATCTGATCTCGGCCAAGGCGCCTGACGCCACCACAAGCGTCTGCGGTGGAGCCTGACCACCTCCCCTGCCGCCGCAGACGGGTGTGAGGACGACGAGGCCGTGTTCGCCGTGGGCGAGAAGTTCAGCCGCGGCTGCAACGAGACCTGCGTCTGCGAGCTGAGTGGGCGCGCGCGCTGTGAGCCGCGCTGTCCGCCGCCGCTGTTCCAGGCGGGCCACTTCCGTGACGATCCGCTGTGTCACGAGACGGCGCTGGACGAATGTTGCGTGACGGCAGTCTGCGATACGGCGCCCGTCGACGACGAGGCGCATCAGGGTCAGTGGGGGTCATTGGGGTGGGGAGGGGGATCGGGGTGCGACAGGGTCGGTTGAAGTCGGCGTCAGGGTCAGGCTAGGAGACCCAGGATCACGGTATGGGCATCTGGGAGCCCAGATAGCGGCAGATGATTGGGTCACAGGTACGAAATACGTACGAAGCCAACAGGAATGTGCAAATGGGATGCAAGATTGGGGTCGTGATGGGAGCAGTAAGGTCAGTTTTATACATCATGATGGTTGGATCAAAGCAATATTCTTGTGATAGTTGTACAAGCTTCGCACGTTCCCTTCCTGTGGATGATTTGAGATCAAACTAAACGATATCAAAACACAGCGGGCCAATTTTCCTCGATGCACGAAACAGACCGGGGAGGTGAAATGCTTCACGCTCGGCTTGCGTGCAGCCCCTGACCCATGCGTGCCGGCCGCACGGTGACGGTCGCCGCCTCTGCGCAGGCGCCAGCGGCATGGACCCCTGCGAGTTCGTCCACTGCGGGCCCAACTCGCGCTGCCAGATGGCGCCCCCGGCGGCCGGCCGGACGGAGCCGGGCGCCGCCGACGCCAAGTGTGTCTGCCTGCCCGGCTTCAACGAGGTGGAGGACGGCGGGCTGACCGAGTGCCGAGCCGGTGAGGGCTAGGCCGAGGCTCGAGGGGCTGCTCGCTGGGCGCTGATCGGTCGGCTGATGCAGAGGGCGGTGCCCCCCCCCCCCCAAAAAAAAACCAAGTCGCTGAAACGAGAACTTCCGTGTCATGCTGTCGTCAACGCTGTGCGTGAATCCGAATCTGTGAGTCATCAGCGTAAGTCCGTGTCCCACATTCGAATGCCGTCAATGCTCCGTCGGGTCCTTGAACGACGGTTTTACGGCGCCACTGCCGGTGCTGGCCGCCGTCGCTCGCTCCGACACTTTCCTGGTATTGTATGGTGAGCACGTGATTCGCAGGTCTGCCGGTGCTCGGCTGATCTTAGCATGACCCACATGCACGATATCCCGCCAGTGCGTGGTCATTTGCGCGCGCTGGCGTGGCTAGCGTGACTTCAACGCACTGACGTCGCTGATCATCTGGCCACTCCCTGATCTTTCTGGCAGACGCTGACCCAGGCACGGTGATACTGAACGCCACCGGCTGTGAGCACGAGGAGACCACCTACGCGCCCGGCGAGGAGTTCTTCAAGAGTTGTGAACTCCGATGCGTTTGCACAGCGAGCGAACAAATCGAGTGCAAGGTACGCCCTTCTACTGGTATGCCGCTGCGTGCTGAATGTGTGTTGGCATTCCCTCAGCATGAACAACACATCGTTGGTGCCTGATCGATCAGTAATCCTACTGCATGCCGGTTGCGCGAGTTTTCGTCTCTGCTTGGGCTGTTGCAAGCAACTTGATCAAATTCTGCGAGATGTCCACGGTTATTGCTTGGTTTATTTTTATCGGTATCAGGCGCTGCTTTGCACGGCGTTTATCTCCACATCTTGCATGATCGGTATCGGCGCCAGGACCGGTCACTCCGTCCAGTTGTTTCAGCTGTCTGGCTTATCATCCTTGAAGAATGTTTCATTGCCCATTCATACTTTGAGTCTTCGCAATGGGCGCCTGGTCAGTTACGGCGGGTTCTCTCAGGAGGCGGAGAAAACCCGACCTCTTCTGCATTCCTTTCACAACCTAGGACGCTTGCCGCGCATATGTGGGGAGTGTTAGGGTGCATGTTAGGTGTATCATGCCCTTGCTGCCCCCGACCTCCTCCGGTTCTGCCCTACCTGAAGATTCTTGCCACTTCCTCTTCTAACGCGATGGAGCCAGCCTGCCAGGGCCAATCACGCTCCTCCCCAGCCCCCGTAACGCCACGCACTTATGCGGCGTTACATGTTCACAGACGTCACACGCACGCTCGAGGCGTTGAAGTTCGTATGACGTAGCGCGCGCACTCGTGCCGTCATGCACGCCCTCCCGTGACACCACGACTGTCCCGGCAGCCTCGATGTCAGGTGGACCAGTCAACAATCCAGGACCTGCCGCCTGGCTGTGTGCGGGTGCAGGAACCGGAGCCCAATCACCTCTGTTGCATGAAATTGGAGTGCAAGAACACGACGGCAGGTCAGATGCGACCCCTTCCTATAGTAACCTGCTTAACGTTTGCCTGTGGATGCCATCAATAGACCAGCGATCCCTGATCAGATGGCTTATACGCGGTATGTAGATGGGATAGCGAGGCGGCTCATGTTGGAGTTGGCCGTGTGAAATATGAGTTGGCGTGTGTTGGCGTTGGAGTTGACCGTGTGAGTTGGTGTGTATTATTCCGCCCCGCTGAGCTCAGTCTCCAGCTCAGTCTCATCGTGGGAAACGTGAGACGTGAACTCATATGAGCGTCGACAAGGTTTTCCCGCAAATTCGTGGCAGTTTTTGATGCGTGTCATTTACAGATAGCTCACTTTATTAATAATGGTTGCTACTCAGTTGCACTTTTCCTTCGTCGCTAAGGAAGCAGCAAAGCTGTGTGCAGGCTAAGCCTACAAGGACCCAAAATTCAAGTCCGTGAAACAAGTAAGGTTATAAATATGTCATCTGAAAGAGAGCAAGCAGTTTACACTTCAACACGATGGTACACATTGTGACTGTTGCAGGAGTGGCAGTGCCAGACCCTACGTTTGCCGGCTGTGTGTTCGGTGAAGACAGGTACGACATCGATGAAGTTTTCTACCAAGGCTGCAAAAGCAGGTGCAAGTGCATGGGCTTTGGTGATGTCTCATGCCAGCCCAGGTAAGCAGGAGTAGTAGTTTCATGGTGGCGTGTTGAAATGTTGTTTACATTGTCTTGTTTTCCACACTAAAAAGCAATGTTTATCTAGTATCAATGCGGAAAGGATAGCATCATTGCGAATTTATCACCCTAGCAACCACTGAGTATGATAACGTTATATTCGCCTCCAGTCTGGTTTCAGTGGAAACGGCATCTCACCCTTATTATCGCGTTGCGTTATTCAGAGCACTTATAAACTACCTCTGGATTGTTGCGAGCGTCGCCATAGCGCACAGTCCCAGTAACGGACTGTACAGCCCCACCATGGGCCGCGGGCCGCCTGGCCGCCGCCGACCTCACGCGCCACCCGGCCGCCGCCGATCTCACGCGCCACCCGGCCGCCAGGTGTCCGCCACAGCAGCCGTCCGACGACCCGTCCTGCTCGGTCCGGCCCGACCCGGCCGACGCCTGCTGCAGCATCTCTGTCTGTGACTCTGTCGCGCCGGCGAACACCAGCGACGCGGACGCCGCCACCACCGCCGAGCCCGACGCCGCCGACGGTGACGCCACCACCGAGCCGAGCACGGCAGCGGAGGAGGCGATCGAGGCGCGCACTCGGCTGGGCGCCGGCCGCCTCGAGCCCGCCGCCAGCGAGCTGCGCCTCCTCGGCTTGCAGACGGTCGACTCCAGCTCGACGCAGGTGGAGGTCGGCGTGCCGCCGGCCGTGGCCGAGCGCTTCTTCACGACGCTCCGCGACGAGCCGCTGCTGGTGGAGTGGCGCTACGGCGCCGCAGCCTGGCAGGAGCGCTCCGTGCCGCACGACAGCGTGCTGCTGCGGCGTGGCCGCCTGCTCGCGCTCGTGCCCGGCCTGGCGGCGCCGCGCGAGGCGACCGTGCGCGTCACGTACGACGGCGAGACCAGCGCACCCGTCCTCGGCGCCGAGCTCATGGGCGGCGGTGATGAGACAGCGCCGGCGGTGCAGCAGGAGGGAGGTGTGTTGGATGTGGGGCGAGCGTGGGGCTGTTGGAATTTTGTTGCGTCTAGTGTGCATGTGCTAAATATGTGGCTGAACGATTGTGTTGCTGGTTCGGCAGGCTCAGTTGCAGCTGTGAGCAGTTCATTAGAGACGGCGAAAGCTCGCGCCCCCAAAAATGATGCGTAGATAACAGTAGAAGCAACAGGAATATTCCCTTGAGTGAGATGATGAAGTCCACTCGCTTGAGCATTTATTGCGTACATTGGAACGCGCACCATCGAGATAAATTTACCTCAGCACAGCTCACGCCTGGTGAGGACGCAGCCACGCAGAACCATTTCATCTAATGCACGCGACTCGCCATTGCAGTAATCGTGGCTACGGACCCGCTGCCGACTACTACGGCAGCCCCTGAGGAGACGACCTCTGACGCCTCCGCCGTCGATGCTGCTCCGACCTCCGACGGCACCTCCTGCGACTTCGACGGCGCCTCGTACAAGCTGGGCGAGGAGTTCCACGACGGCTGTCGCCAGTTCTGCCAGTGCACCGAGACGGGGGTCAGCTGCGCGGCCATCGAGTGCCCACATCACTTCGGCCTCAAGCTCATCAACCCGGACTGTATGCAGTGGAGCCAGCCGGACGACTTCACGCCCACGCCGCCCGAGTGCTGCCCTGAGGTGACCTGCGTCGACGACGGCAGCTGCACCTTCGAGGGCGAGAAGTTCCGCAACGGGCATCCGCTCCCGGAGAAGCTGACCGGCTGCGAGCAGCGCTGCTACTGCGAGTTCGGCAACGTGACCTGTCAGTCGGCGTGCGACCCGGTGCCGGCGACGCCGCCGCGCACGCTCCCCTGTCCGCCGGACCGCGTCACGCTCGGGCCCGGCTCCAACGGCTGCTGCAAGCTGTGGCAGTGCTCCGACGGAGGTGAGTCCGCGGCGCTGTCGCTGCGGTGACCGAACGGGGACAGAACGGAGGGAGGATGGGGAGGGGGCACCGCTCGATCACCTGGGAGTCCCGACGGTGTCTCAACGCTCGCACCTGCCTTCATCAGCTGCTGCAGCGGTGACACTGCGTCGCTCCGACGGAGGCACCCCAATCTCCCTCTCCTTCTCCTCCCCCCTCGCCTTGTGCGTGAACCCGTCAGCTCTTCGCCGCGGGGGAGTCCTCCGCCTCCGCCGATGTATTTGTACAGGTTGTGATCCCGCTATATTATGTTCTCACGTCGTTCCCTCGTAATTTATACAATTAATAATTTACAATTAGTAATTTGTACATGACTGCGTGCCGGGCTTGCCATTTCGCTTCCGTGCGCATGCAAGCACATGCACTTTGACTGGTCGCAACCTCAACGGACTGCTCACCTCCCACTACCAGCACTGAAGCCCGCTCCTTCATGACAACGCTCGGTATCTGCACGAGCAATTTCCTCGACTGGTTCTAGGCCGATGTATTAGCAACTTTGCCTGCCGGAAGGATCTCGACCGACAACGTTACTGAGCTCGACCAGACCCGTGATGCAGTAACCTGACATATCTGTTCGGCTTTGCGTCATGTGGAGGATGACTGCGGCTATGTGTTATAATATCACGCTGTCTGGCACCTACGCTGCACGTTGCATGTCACCCCGATCTACTTCCAGGAGCCCCTAACACGACTGGTGGACGAGACCAGACAGAACTTGACCCAACGACGCTCGTTGCCCTCGGCGCCGCCTCTTCTCCTGACCTCCCCCAACCCACTGAGCCTGCGCCGTCGGCGGCGGAAGGAGAGTCCACGGACGGCAGCCCCGCTGAGGCAGAAGAGCCAACTCCGGAGCCGGAGCCGACGACGGTCGTCCCTGAAACGGCCGCCGGCGTGGAGAGCCCTGCTTCAACACAGGCGACGGGAGAAACAACGGAGGGTTTAGAGCCAGAGCTGGAAGGATCTGGTCCGGCTACGGAAGTCAGTCGAGGAAGGAAAGGCAACGGAACCGTCTCCTGCCCAATCCCCTACTGAGTCATCTGCGGTGACGGAAGACGCTGCTGTAGCTCAAGCGGTTAACGTCACGGAGGAAAGCATCGCTACAGCGTCGGAGCCACCAGCAGATGAGCACGACGGCGCGCAGGAATCTACCGAGCCCGGAGCCAGCCAGGTGGTGGTGATAGACGGGCAGCGCTACCTGGAATCGAACGGCAAGCTCTTCCCGCTACCGCCTGTACCGAGCTTTGTCCAGCCAGACGGCCGTAGACCGGCGGTGGCCGGCGGCCCGCCTGCCGGGCAGCAGCCGTCTCCGGAGCCGACGGGTAACCGCGGTCCGCATGAGGACAATGGCGTGCCTGTTGGCCAGCCGCCGGCACCTCCAGGGGGCAACTCGATCGTGGTTATCGACGGCCAACGCTTCCTCGAGAGCAACGGCAAGCTGTCCCCGCTGCCGCCCGTGTCCGGGCTGCAGGGCGGGGATCGCATCCCTTCGGCTCCTTCAGTTGGCAACGCGCCGGCCGGCGCCGGCGACGGCAGCTCCGTCGTGGAGATCGACGGCCAGCGCTTCCTCGAGAGCGACGGCAAGCTGTTCCCGCTGCCGCCCGTGCCCGCCTTCGGCGGCCGGCAGCCCGGACGACCCCAGACGACGCGGCCCGGGTCGCGGCCGCCGATCGGCCGGCCGCGGCCCGGCGTCAGGCCGGTGCTCGTCGGGCCCGACGGACAGAGGATCCCCATTGGACCCGATGGCCGGCCGCTGCGGCCGCCCGGCACCGGCCGCCGGCCGACCGGCACCGGGCGGCGCCCCGTCTTCGTGCCGCGCCCGCAGGAGAGCCCTGAGGTGCTGGTGCTGCCGGATGGCCGCCGCATGCAGGTGTTCCCCGACGGCACAACGCGGCTGCTCACGTCGCCGCCGCCGTCGACGCAGCGGCAGCTGATCGCGCTCGGTCCCGACGGGCCGGCCGCTGCTCGGCCCAGACGGTCGTCCGATCCCGGTGCCTGCCTCTGCGGGCGGCGGCGGCGGCGGCGGCGGCGGAGGGCGGCAGACGCAGCGGCCGCGGCCGCCGACGCGCGACGGCGCGCTCGGCACTTTCCGACCGGGCGACCGGATTCCGATTGACGGCCGCGGTCGGCCGATCCCCCTCGGCCCCGGCGGTCCCGTGCGCACGCCTGTCTTCGACATCGTCATCGGCGCCGACGGACGGCCGCTGACCGACGACGACGGGCGCACGATGCTGTTCCCCGTGCGGCCAGGCGGGCCGCCGCCGCCGCACGGCGCGCAGGAGCCGGACGACGCGACACTGCTGCTGCAGCACCTGGCCACCTCCACCCCCCACCCGTCCCGCTCCCCGCCGCCGGGCGCCGGCGCCGGCGCAGACCCAGGTCAGTGGCCGCCGGCCGGCGTCGGACGGACCGCCGGCCGGGATGGCTCGGCCCAGCTGGGTGACGGTTGGACTGTAGCGGCTTGGTGACAGGGCACTGTGACGGCTTGGTGGGGTTATGACTGGGCGACAGGTCAGCTGGGACGACTGGGTGACAGGACACTGACAGCTTGGTGACAGCCCCACTGGAAAAGCTGAAATGTCAGCAACAAACCCCCAAGCATGCTGACGTGGGGTCGTGGAGGCCGGTAGGGTGTACAGAGGAGCTTTTCCCGAGCTTTTTGGGCGCGGACTCAAGGACATGGCGTCATCCTGAATCCTCTTCCAGAGCTTTGTACATGATCTGCCGATATTTACGTACGTTTGGAAGCCTTAAACACCGTGCTATTTTCAAGAGACCTGTCTCTACGGATAAGATATATAACAAACACCGTTTGAATCCTATTTCCGCCAGTTGCGCTGGCCGCAGATGAATGCATGAGTTTTGTTTGTGAGCGGGAGCCAGGTGAAAACCCAGGGTGATACACTGGTATCTGCCGTAGTGACTAACCTCTGGTGGTAGCTGGGGAGCAGCTGTATGGACATGGAGTGGCTGATGAATGAAACGCGCACCATACAAGGGCCGCTGTTTTCCTTTGGCGTGTTTGGGATGCTTTCCATGCTTTACTGCGCTCTGCTGTTTGTCAGAAAATTGGCATCAGAACGCTGGTTTCGTTTGCGCGGTTGACGCGAATCTTGACCTTAATCTTGTGCCTTTATGTTGCGGGATTCAGCAATACCTGTGGTAAGTTCCGGCTCCCACTCGAGCTCCCGGGTGTTGTGTTGCTTTTTATATGGGGTAGCTTAAGGGGTACAGCGTGATCACTTCGACATTCTGTGATCAATCATCAGCTGCAATATATTCCATTAGTTTGGCGTTACGGCCAATGACAGTTTCATAGGTGTTGCGTGATGGGTTCAGTAAACGCAGAAATGACGGCCGCGCTCTATTTGCAGTTACATCGCGACCTTCTGTGCCGCCCAACATCCACGCCGAGGGGCTGGGCATAGGTAAGACAGCTGGTAATGACACATACACGTACATCCGTTCTACTTCTCGTGTGCGGTAGTCAATCCGCGTGTGCGCTGCACATATTTAATAATCGATCAGTAATGTGAACTCACGGAAGCTAGAACGGCTTTTTGATATACATATACGAATTGCCCAGAAGCTGGAGAAATGCTGTGTGCTAGGTGCGTAAGAAATCGAGTCGCACTGTTGTCCCCCTTCCGTTTCCCCGCTGGTCTGAGCCAAACCCATACGCACCATGTCTGCGCTTTTGAGGACAAGGGCGGGTTCACCCGTTTTCCGTGACAAAATTATGTAACAGCTGGCCCGTGGCAATGCGAGGCAAGGATAAATAGAAAAGAAGAAAATGCTGCAGTGGTATTCAGCTATTTTGACCACAAAGCTTCTTTGAGTTGGTGGTGCGTAGTACGGCCGCAGCAGGCCGTGCAATCGTCTCTGCAACGATTACCCTAACACAGCCGCTGTTGTCAAACCCGGCGCGTGCTTGTTCCCAGGGAACGAAATCTCTGACCTGGACGTGCGGGATGTGGACGCAGAGTCTGTCAAGTTCAGCTTCAGTATCCCGCCGGCCCTGGTCGGCCTGCCCGGCAAGACAGAGGTCCTCTACACCGATAGCCCGGGGTCAGTGGCCGCCACCTGTCAGCTGCTAACGGCACGCTTGGATCGCTACGGACGGTAGCGTGGCGATCCCTCCTGAGAATGCCACTTACGTGCGCGGCTGCAACTATTGGCGACATTGCTCCATCTTGCGCACCCATATTCCTGTATAATTATGTTGCAAAAGAGCACATGGTAACCACTTGAAGCTGGCTGTTCTCACCAACCAATCGTATCTTACCATGCCCGTTTGTTCTAACCAACTTACCACGATGAAACGATGCCGTTGGATTCTTGCGCCGCTGGGTCTCTGTCTCCTCCACTGGCCTGAAGATGACCTGCCACGCGTGTCCTCCCTCAGCTCCCTGCTTCCCCCTCTGGCCTGAAGATGACCTGCTAAATGTGCCCTCCCTCAGCTCCCTGCTCCCTCCTCTGGGCTGAGGATGACCTGCCACGCGTGCCCTCCCTCAGCTCCCTGCTCCCTCCTCTGGCCTGAAGATGACCTGCTAAATGTGCCCTCCCTCAGCTCCCTGTTCCCTCCTCTGGTCTGAAGATGACCTGCCACGCGTGCCCTCCCTCAGCTCCCTGGTCCCCCTGGTCTGAAGATGACCTGCCACGCGTGCCCTCCCTCAGCTCCCTGCTCCCTCCTCTGGGCTGAGGATGACCTACTAAACGTGCCCTCCCTCAGCCTGAACGACGAGGCGTCGTCCTGGGACCGGCGCGTCTTCCAGACTCCGTCGGGCCTGCTGGACCGCACAGACCTCTCCTGGGTGCTGGGCGACCTCCGGCCCGCCACACCATACGTCATGCAGGTCAAGGTGTTGTTCGACCAGTCCTCCACCATCCTGCAGAGCAACGTCGTTGAATTCCAGACACGCGATGCGCCCGAAGGTGCGTGGAAAGAAGCTTTTGAGGCCGGTTTGTGTAGCGGTATGGATTACGTGTCGCAAGAACGTTGTTGATCTTTTGAGTGTCAGCTTTGTGAGGTGCCAGTCGGTATGTTTCATCTTTTATGTACAGTCCATTAGCATAAAGCCGTTTGGCACCCGCGAAAGGGAGACGTTACCCAGCGCTCCGCCGACTATGCTCTTGCGGTGCACCAGGTCCACAATTGCATCCATGCTACGGTAGTTGTCAAAGTCCCACTATCTGTTAATCCATGCACCAAACGCACCTCTACACTGTCGCCCCCTCCCGTCCGGACCGCACCCATAGCGTGTTGCTGACGTGTCCGCCCCGTTCCAGCGGCCCCGACGCTGCCGCCCAAGGTGGAGGTCGATGCTGAACTGCAGGCCTCGGACGTGGACACGACCTCGGCGCTGATCCAGTGGCGCCGGCTGACCGAGGAGGAGCTACGCTACATCGACGGCATCCAGCTGCGCTACAGAGACGTCGACGTCGACGCCCAGGTACTGGACTGAAATCGCCCGGGGACGTCGATGTCGACGCCCAGTACTGAACGGGGGGTCGCTGGCGGGCTCTGCCGCAGCCGTGGGATGCTGCCTGATGTCACGAGTTGGCCACCGCTGTTGGCCGCTGTTATACACTCAGCTGGCGACACGTGGCGCATATACGCGCATATATCATACATATCATATTTAGGCATGTATGTATCATATATCATATCATGTATCATATATGACTCCATCGGCCGTCATATTTCTGGGGCAGCCCCGCTATGAAATTGAAGTCTCACCAATTTAATACCATTTAACGACACGACCCTAGTCAGCAACCAAGAGTTACTGCGATGCCCCTGTACGTGTCGTGACACGCTACGTGGCACGACAGCTGACACGACCCGCCCCCTCCCTCCCCCCCCCCCCCTCCCCTTCCTTCCGCGGTCCCCCAGGTGTGGACCATGACGCCGTTCATCCACCGCGAGCTGACCACCTACAAGCTGACGGAGTTGAAGCCGGACACGACTTACGAGGTGGACATCGTGCTGATGCCCTTCCAGACGCAGCGCACCGAGATGGTCTCCTCGCACCCGCTGCGGATCAGCACGCTGCCCGTCTTCGGTCAGTGGAGCGCTGAGACTCATGGCGCCTGATCTGGGCCGGGGCTCGACCGCCAGCTGCGCGTGGCGTAGGTGGCGGCGGTCTTTTTGGAGGTGGCGAGCGCGAGGCGGGGCGCGTTGGTGTGGGTTTGGAGTCTGGAGGTCGCCAGGTGTGCATGGTCAGGCAGCGAGGAAGTGAGCGCATGAGTCGTGCGTGGTTGTCAAATTGGGAGAAGTGCGTGTGTTGAGCGGCATAACATCCGTGCACCTCCTGCGGTTTGAGAACCACGCATGATTGGCGGGCTGGCTTCCGCGCTGTCTGATAAGTGCGCTGCAATTGCTCGTCTCAACGTCGCATTTTGTCTTGCGCCTAGAAAGGTAAAAATAACCAGCATTGTTTTATCGACAGGAATGTGCATTAAGCACTACTTGGGTGCAATTAAAGCACACCGACGCCAAAGCTTTGATGTTTAAGTATTTTGCCGCGAAACCCATCTTTATGACTCGCGTTTTCGCTTATGATGCACATTCTCGTAACAGCCTACACCCTGCAGATGAGATGATGTCATGCAGAAGGCTGCTGACTTAGTGTCTTGGCCCATTCTCACAGCGAGCCCATGACCGACTAGTTAAGCTCCTGCCCGATTGAACACAGTTTCCTCACGTGTCAGCCATGGGATAATGTTGTCCACATCTTGCCGACCGTATCTCAACAGGAACAAATGGTTCGGGCTTCTGGCATACATTCCCCCTTTGATTGGCTATCGCTTTGAATCTACGGACGGCATAAGCTGCGCTGTTTTTCCGGCGGAATTTCCCATAGTTTCTTTGATTTCTTGATACGCCTGTCCGTCGGGCACCATGACAACATTTTCACTTCTGATAGGCAAAATATTGGGAAGCACATTTCGTGCTTCGGAGTCTGTACTTTCATCCTCTTTATCCAACGTCCGGCTGGTCCCGCCACCGGCTGTGTGAGCCTGATTTGTTCAGACGATTGTCTTGGATAGAAAGATCAGCGCCCCCCCCCCTGCCCCCCCCCCCACACACACTCCCTACTTCTTCCCCTCGTTGCCCTTCATGACCGGCAGCACCCTCCGCAGACCGCTACGACTTCAACATCACACTGGGCAAGGTGGAGCCGGGGCCGAACTCCGTACGAGTGAGCTGGACGGGCATCCCGCAGCCGCAGTATCAGTTCGTCAACGTCTACCGCATCGTGTACATTTACGAGAAGGAGCGCGAGGAGAAGCACACCTTTAAGCTGGCCAAGACGTCCGACGAGCCGTCCATCCTCATCAAGGGCCTCAAGCCCAGCAGCAAGTGCGTGATGGGCATGTCTCCTTTTTGTACTGATCTCGGCGTTTTAGTTCAGGAGCTGTGTTTAACACCAATTGCGCTGCATTGTGCTCAAAAGGAAAATATTTGTTGGTCGGCGCAAAAGTTGAGATTGCGTCGCCTTTACTCAACGGTTGAGATGGCGGTGTCTTAGAAAGCAGCAGCAACTTTTCTGTAAGCGATTCAGTTTTGGCTACATATCGATTTCATCCAATGCTGGGAATGTTGTCTTATCCATGTGGAACATGTGGGAAACGGCAGTCATACCAGGGCTGAATCAGCTTTGGTCGTTGATTCGGGAAATAACGCACGCGTTGAGTTACGGTACATAAATTAAATTTGATCATGCCCTAGCTATGGCCTCGCTTTACAGTTCAGCGCACTACGTTGCTTTTTGATTGCTCTGAGATACCTGATGGGAAGCATTGCGTATAACTGTGCAAATGCCTTGAATCACACAAGCCAATCACGATGACAAACGTGGGTATATTTGCCCCAAACGTCAAGCGAAGCTGAACGGTGGGAATGACTTGCGTCAGTGATTGTTATGGCACAGTTGCATTGCGCAAAATGCAAATAGACCCGTGACTGCCTTACAGCGGCATAAAACATGCTTCAGATTCGTAACACCCGTCTAAGCTCAGCAATGCGATGGCCATTTCACCTATATGTTATATGCCCATGGTTTGGTGGTGCGGTGATGCCTCGTCCCAAGGAGTCGAAAACAATGCAATTCCCTTACGGTTTAGAAGCATCCTTACAGATTAGTGACAGCCTGTCTTTTTCAATCAACATTGTCAGTGTTTACCCTTGACCATGGCCACAAGGAGCGAGAGAGAGCCAAGCGTTCAGTCCGCTGTGCCAGATTCGTACGCAGCTACCCCTCGAGTAGCAGTAGCCGCAGGGTCGGGCTCCCCTTGTGACCCTCACCTTCCCACCTGCCACAGGTACCAGGTGTGGCTGGAGGCGTACCTGAAGAACGGCAAGAAGCGCGTGTCGGAGGTCCGGGAGTTCGACACCAAGCCCGGCCAGCTGGGCAAGCCCGAGGAGATTCGAGACGAGAGCGCAGGTCGGTCTGCAGCGGGGCAGCGGCAGTCGGGATGGCCACAGCTCCCGACGTCCGTTATGCAGCGTCGTTCAATCCTCTGCTGCCCCCCCCCCCCGCTCTCACCAGCCCCCGGCGTCCCGTTATGTACCGTCGCTCAGTCCTCTGCTGTCCCCCCCCCTCCCCCGCTCCCGCTTCCACAGTGGTCGGCGCGAGGCCGTTTGATCGCGGGAGACGTGTCGTGACGTTGAGTTCGTTTGTTGAAAGTAAGGACTGCACGCTTGAATACTACCAACGCCTTTTCATCGCAAGCTTTTGCCTCGTTTTGTCCCTGTTCAACCGTCTTCGCAACTGACGCTACCCGTGTTCCTCCCGCGGCAGGTGACGCGCTGGGCACCAGGGACCCTCCCAACAACTACTACAGCGGCATGGTTGCGGCGGCCATTATTGCCACCATGGCCATCCTGCTGTGCCTCTTCCTGGCGTTCCTGCTCGTGCGGAGGGCCAGCCGTGCCGCCGTGGAGCCGGCCGCCGCCAGGAAGAACGGCCCCAGTTACGACAACCCCGCCTTCAAGGTCAGCGGGCAAAAGTGACGAGGGGGTGGGCAGGGAGGTGATTGTCATGGCACATGGCGGCATTGGTCCTCCACGGTCTGGTAAGAAATTCGCCCGCGTCTGTGTACGGTCCGGAACATGAGATATGACTGGAGCAAACCTACGTTTTCAGCATGTGTTCTTGAGAGACGATTGACGTGCGCGTGACTTGTTTGGACGGAACAGAAGTGTTGCTGCGCCTCTGTGTGTTTGTGTTGGCGATGGAGAGTGAAGCTGCGACGTCTTAGCGCCTGAGTGGCTAGTGTGCCTCGCAGTTTGTAATGTTGACGGGCAGACGCCAGATTTGTAGGGACAGCTCAGGTTCGTCATGACGGCGGTTGTTACCTTAACAGATGATGTAGTTCATTTAGGTCATGGTGTTATTTATTAGGCCGGCAGTTTTGTTCCAGCCCTCGTGAGCCTTTCGCCTGCAGTGGCTTCGGCCAGTGTCCCTCGCCAGTCATGCCACCCCTCCCGGCGTGGCACCATGCTGAGGCCGTTCTTCCCCGTCTCGATGTCCTCGCGTCGCGGCGATCCGCTGCCGATCATGTGACCGCCCTCTGACGTCACCTCGTGCCCGGTCGCAGCCGCCCGAGACACTCGACACGGTCTCGCGAGAGGAGGCGCTCGAACCGTAGCGACGTAGGAGCCGCCCGCGGAGGCGACTGTAGGCGGTAGGCGAACGTGGCCGCGGGCCGAGTCCTTTACGTAGCCTCGGAGCGTGCATGGAGCGGTCGCCAGGGACGTCGCGGTCCGCCGGGGCTAACAGTGCATGGCGCGCGGCAGACATGGACAAGGGACCGGCTGAGGACGGGCGGATGCATGACGAGACATTGCACACGACGGTTTGCAGGCATATGTGTGTATACGCTGGAGTTTGTACATGTTGGGTGCGAGAATGTCGCTAACTTGTCTCTGCTTCCAGCAGCCGCTTATTTGGTGATGTTGAAATACCATTGAGGCTACACAAATATGAGCGCATCTAAATTGGTGATATCGAATGTCACGTATTTTGCAATCATGCACGGCATTCTAAGAAATATTGTATGTCATTAATCAAGTGGAGATAATGATTGGGCTTTCTGTGTTACAAAACGTATGCTGGACAGCGCGCTATCCTTGTCCTCTAGCGTGGCAAATATTGTGTTGCGAACTTGGGAATGAACTGCCTATTTTTCGTACCCGGCTCGCAATTTTCGGATGCAGGCTTGCGTGGCTGGAATGTGGTAAACGGTTGTAACGGAGCGTGAACTTGATTTGACACCGCTTACAGGCCGTGATTCGACACATTTTCATGCCAGTGATTCATGTCATTCGAAGAGGCCGTGCCACTGAATTCGCATTTACTTTGACACCACTTCCTCGTTTTCTCACTCACGATGATCGCGATCAAAGGCCTCAATGCTGCCGCGCGCCACAGAAGGCCAGGCACCCAGGCGGAAGCAGCAGTGCCGAGCCCGCTGGCCGCCCTCCCTGACCGCCGTCCCTGACCGCCGTCCCTGACCGCCGTCCCTGTCTACAGAACTCCGAGCTGGACGTGAACGGCGCCAACGGAAACGACCGGTTCGCGTAGGCGGCGCGCCCGCCCCGCGCGCCGGCCATGGCGCGCCACGCGAGCCGGGCCCCGCCCGTCCCGCTGCGACTCCGACTCCGACTCCGACTCCGGCTGGCGGCTCGGCCGAGCGGGCGGACGAGCGGGCGGGCGGGCGCGGCTGATCTCTGGAGGGCGCGCGCTCAGTGCCAAACAAAGACGACGCGGTGAGGCCAGACTCCACTGCCGGAGAGTGATACGTGAGCGGCCGCCCGGCCGCGGTACCGGCGCGGTACGCCAGCGTGTACCGGTGTGTACCTCAGCGGACCGCACGTGACTCCGTGTGACGGGACGCGGCGCGGCGGTGACTGGTGTCGGTGTGAGAGGTGCACTGGCACGCTTTTCTATGTCTTGACTGGTGATGCCGGTGCGATCAGTCGAAGAGTGTTGCTAGGTCAAGGCATCAGCTGCAGCGACTTCGGCTGACCTGTACGTGTTAGAAACCCGGTGGGTTTTCATTTCTTTGACTGTAACGCGTGTGCTATTTTCATGTGGAAGCCAGCAGGCCGCGTTTGCATGTGGTATTTGTTGCAGTGAATGTCGGTGTTCTTCTTCGGTGTACTTGAGCCTGTGTCTGCATTGTTGGAGATTTGTACACGGAGTCTGCTCTGGATATTGTCAGCTGAGAGATGTTAATGTCACTGGCTCAAAGAGACCATGCTTGTAGCACTGGGGTATGCTGACTGTATCGTCTGCTTTAAAAGCTTTCACGATCGTAGGCAAAGCATCGTCAAGCAAACAACCCATGAGTACTTATTTCTATAACAGTGCAGCGAACCTGCGTCAGTTGTTGTTACCCGACTTATATACAACGAATAAAGTGTCGAGTTGGATTTTCAACTTTTTGTTACCAGAAGGGCCGAGGGCTGCGTAAGCTCAAGTCGAACTATGGCACAGTCTTTAGCTCGAGCTGTTCATCCGAAAGGTCCGCTAGTTCTGAAGCTATTTGTCTCAGCCTCATGCTGTTCTCAGTGACAAGGAGCGCAATTATTTGAAGACTATATGAATCGTGGGCCATTTGCATGCGGGCTGTTTGATCACGCGGTGTCTTCCAGGCATATTTTAACATCACCTCGATTTTGCCTCCCTCATTCGGATAACATAAAAACGGTGACACGATCACGTTGCGAAATAGTTAAGAGAGCAGGCGTCGAAACCAAATCAAAATATTGAAGGCATACGTTGGCCCTACTGATACTACTACGATCCTACTGGTCCTACTGCAACGACCACAACTACGATGGAGTCATAAAATCATTGATGCCCAAGCGCATGGACTGTGGTCGTGCGCGATTCATAACAATGGTATAAATTATTTAAGAGACACCCAAGCATTACACCTGCCTGCTGGCGGATCTTTGGTCCATGCAACCCATGCGCATTGCATTAATTTAAGATGATCGACAGTTCTTCGCGTGAAAGAAATGGCAAATTACTAGCGCGAAAAAGAGAACCATATGCGTTTGATAGTATTCGTCACCATTGAATGGCGCACGAGCTTCGCACCCGGTCACCGGCTCTTTTCCGTTTTATGTCACTCACATGCAATGTTTTTTGGGGGGAAAGGCCACAGGTCAATCTGCGTGACAATAAAAAATACAGGAGAGTTTTAAAATGTGTATTATCAGGTGCAGAAAGCGGGAAAAGCCCATTTGATAACATTGGATCAAGCTATTCGAAGTCAGCCAAAGGGCCGGCTGCCGGAGCCCGTTTGTTCAATAGGACGTATTATTGAAAGGTGGATGCGTGCCCTACACGTTGACCACAAACAAATAAGACAGCGTTTTAAAACTTAAATTGTATATTGAGCACAGGATTGGGGCCGCGCGCGTTTCAAAGCGAGTGCGTAGGTATATTGATAGCCGCGAATTTCGATGATTATCGGATGAACAAACATTACGTTTGCTCCCTGACGGATATTTGCATTGTGTGCAAACTGGCGTCGGCGTATCATAATCTGGAACGCGCGGAGGGGCAGCTACGCCAGCATTTAAAGAAATGCCCGTATTTTGAGCTTCGAGAGTGCATAGCGAACGACACCAAAATATATGTTTCAGCTGTCGGCGCCTGTTTGTCTGACACGACCTTCCACGGCCTATTATTGAAAGGCGGCTGCCTGCGTTGTAAGAGTGGAGAAGAAATCATATGAAATTTTCGAAAATGTTTGCATTCGAACGCAGGGAGTGGGACAAGGTGTGCTTGATAGCGTTTGTGTTAAGTTACCGAACGACCCCTAAACATAGGGCTCAGACGCCAGTCCTTGTTTATATCTTATCTTGTGTTTGTATGTTTTTGTGTCATGGTTCTCACATGATCCACGCAAGGCGTAAAGTTTAAAGTGAGCAGGCCACACTTGCATTGGAAAAGTACCTACGTAAGCGTTTCAAGAACATTTATTATCGAGCGGGGAAGCTGTAGTCTCACGCTTTGAATACCGATGGTTCAGGGCTAACAAATGCCACCGAAGTATTGCGCTTAACCACCGGCACCATTTGTTTTATGGGAACCAATGCGCACCGGCTTATGATGTAAGGATGTGAAGCCACTCTTAACGTGGAGAAGAATATACCCCAGGGTTTCAAAAATATTCATAATTGAGACCGGAGCGTATGATCGCGTGGGTTTGATGACACTCGTTAGGAGTTATAAAACGACACCCACACTTTGTGTCCTGTGGCAGGGCGTCTATTTGTTCGGGATGCCCCTCCGCAACGTATTTAGAATGCGGGTGACCGCTCTGCGCCTGGCAAAGGAGCTGCAGCAACGCTTTCAAAATGTTTATAACCTAGCACGGAGATCAAAACCACTCGCGTTTGACAGTCATTGTTCAGTGGCAGTGACTTACATCCAATACATTTGCCCTTAAAATATATTTTTTAAAAGGTTGACGTCATTTCTGATCCATTCCCAGAGTTCCTGCCTGCCTTTCCATATTATGCCGTGCGGGGGTCATATCAGTCCAACATGCGCTGTCCGCCGCACTCGATGGTGAGTGTCGTTCGATAGCCTTGAAATGGTGCCTCGTAACGCGCTTGGCTCCACTGTCTGCGCTTAATCATGAACATTTCTAAAATGCTGCCGCATTTTCACCATGTGGGCAAATGAAACGAATGGACGTAGGTGCTGCCGGGCCCGATGCTTCGTTTTGCTTCTTCTAAAATTAGTCAGCAATGTACGTAATAGATTTGATAAACCTGAAATATAATCGAACACGCAGGGAAGGACTGTGCTCGTTTGGCAACGCTGGCTCGGGGCTACCATATGGTGCCCAAATATCTGGTCCGGCCGCTTTTCTGTGCAGGACGTTGACAATACCCCGCGGGGTGTTATTGAAAGGCGGCAGCCACTCTGCACGTGACGACGAAACCACGACGGCGTTTTTAACTTATTCTGGAAAGAAGCACAAAGAGTGAAGCCGTGCGTGTTTGATGCCACCAGCTCAGTGGTACTGAAAGGTGCACAAGCGTTGAAACAAGCTCATTGGGGCCCACGAACACCTGGAACTTGATGTGTTTCACGACTGTTCGACTACAGTCACGGCAAATGTGAATTATTGCAATTAATTGACTTGTTCGGTAGAATCCTCGGGCCTGGCCAGGCACATAGCTAGCCAGTTTGTAAGCACGGCCTTTAAGAGACCTTTCGCATGCACACTATCAACGGTGGACTACCCTATAGAAGATATCACTGAAATAGCACTCCATCCCATGTAATCAATGATGCTTATTTGGGTTTCCAAACGTGTGATTTTCAAATGGTATGGATTTCCAAAGGCGACTTTTTCCATCCTCTCAGATTTGGCATCGCTAACGTCATGATAATATCTGCATTGTCACCTCGCTCGTCCCATACCGCGAAAGACCTGTTCCTCGCCATACCTTATTTGATTGATCGATCGGTAATCCCAATACCGATTAGTCTTGCGGTCGCAACTCAACCATTTTCAAAGGGTTTTGCACAGGGTCAGTTGAGGCTCGACACAGCCAGATGACTGACTACAGAGTGACTCCTGACAGAGTGACTGACTCAGAGTGACAGGTGACCCCAGAGTCTGCTTTGTCTCTGATGCGGAGCACAAGTCTGCTGCAGACAGAAGGCAAAATCCTCTCCGGTGAAGCGGTGTGGAATCAGCGAAGTGTGGCGCTGTGGTGTGTCCGCACTGCAGACTCATCCAGCGGTCCAGGCCAGTCATGGCGCGTAACTAGATCCAACGCATATATGTTCTCGGGCGGGTCGAGCGCGACCAGCGCGCCGCCCGCAGACGCTAGTACTGCCGCCGTCCGTTGCGCGGTGCTGGTGTGTGTCGCTCACCGGCGGCGGCGTGGGACGGTCGGTGCGGCGCCGAAGGTCATGTCGGATCAGAGGGGTGCATCAGCCCGGAAGGTCACGTCGGTCCGGAGGGGTGCACCAGCCCAGAAGGTCAGGTCGGACCGGAGGGGTGCACCAGCCCAGAAGGTCAGGTCGAACCGAGGGTGCATCAGCCCGGGGGCCGACTGGCGCTGGGTCACTGGGACATCGAGAGCATGAACATGACGTCAGGGGACTGGACGTGGACGTGGACGTGGACGTGAACGTGGAGCCGGCGGCAGGCAGCGTGGAGTCAGCCGCCACCTGTGCTGGCACCTGGCCGTGCCCGGTTCCTGGAACGGGCCAGCGGACATCGCCAGCCAGCGCAGACTGGGCTGTGGGTATCTGATTGCCGACATACCGCCAGACGTCTGCCTGTTTGAATGACGTGACCTGTGACGATCTGATGCGGTGACGACCAGAAGGGTGGCCGCTGTATCCGCATTGTTCATAGATGTGGTTCGCAAGAGCCGGGAACGATGAAACCAGATACTTGAGAGGTTGTTGTGTCGCAGGTGGTGCATGAGTACATAATGCATTCTTTGCTCACGCCATGACTTTCTGTTGAAAAGGATGGCAATTGGAGAATGTCTGCAAAGTAATGAAACGATGGCACCGACCTGCATCGTGCTGTTTGCAGTGTTAGTA